ACGGAGCTGTCCTAACGGAGGCCTGTTAAAAAAAGGAGGCCCATTTTCTTCAAAGTGGCGGCACAGAGGCGTTGAGAGACGAGGGAGGCTGCATGTTTGTGCACTGAATCAGGGCTGCGCTGCAGATTTTTGTCTGGCGAGGCGAATCTCGGGAGGCTAGGAAATAATTTGGTCACGGCTGTGGGAGGTTGCTGGGGTGGGGGGTGGATGACTGTGGGGGGGATGTGGGGGGGGCAGGGTTTCGACCGTTTCGCTGCGGTGAGAACACGCTTGACACTTCATTCCTTTCCAGTTAATGCGGTGCGGACTGCAGGAGTTTAACCCTCTACCTGCCTGGGCCTGGAGCTGGTCAGAGTGACCGACCAAAGAGCTCAGCTGCTGCATATATACATTAAAAACTGCACTGACAACAAGAAACTGCCTGACCAACCTGTGGAAGATCATAAATAATAGCTAATACATGAACAGCGTTCATTTTAGAACAGAATTGTATAAAAAAGTAGGGTAAGACACAAGCTGCCTAAAAGTGTTATTAATAAGTACAAATGAGTGCGTATGAAAAACTACTACCCTTGAAAGACCTCTTCCTTTTTTATTCTGAATCCTTTGGGACATTCTCATCTTCTCTAAAGCACAAGTTTAACATCCAACGACCAAGTCCAAGCAGCATGTCAATAGACAAACATCCCTGTGACTTCCTGCATGCAGCCTCTCATGTGACAGAGGCGCGACTGAGCCTGTGGCAAAAACAAAGGCTCGCTCCACTTTCCAAACAAACTAACCCTGCCTCTGCTGCAGGTGGACACACTGGCCATCAACCCAGATTTTCCGTGGGTGTGTTTTTTTGTTTGTGCGAGTGTGTGTGTGTGAAGCAGGAGGGCAGGGAGTTAATGCGGCAGGCCTGTGGCGGTCCTCCTGCCCTCAGCCAGATTAATCATGCAGCAGACCCCGTTCCCTCTGCCTGGGGGCCGAACCGTGCCCGCATGCTCTCCCTATCACATGGCCCAGGCCCCCTCTCTTCTCCTCAACACAGCTCCTCTGGGGTAGAAGAGGGGTGGGGGGGTGGAACGCCCCAGAACGCTTCGCTTTGCTTCCTTTCCTCTCTTCCTTTCTTCTTTTTCCTTCTGTGGGCATCAGGAGATAGATGCAGGGAGAGAAAAACAGAAGCGTCCGTCTCATCTTCCCTCCACTGCAATGGCAACAACGGCCCCTTTTATTGCTCATCGGAGGGCCCCGTCGGCAGTGGCCAGGCTTTGCAGGAGGGGTGGGGGGGTTACTGTTTGCCAGGGGCCTCCCGCACTTGCCTGGAAACAACTCACCGACGTCTCTGTGCATAGGAGAACAGCCGATGCTATTGTTGCATCCACTGAGTGCTAGCTCCCATTTGCCTTTGCCTTCTGACTGATTAACAAGCAGGGCTGATGATGCATTTACAAATATATATGATGTCACACTAGAAAAAGAGTGTCACATTCTGTGTAGGTACACTGTAAAAATATTTATTATTTTAGTTTTTTTTTTTTTTGGAAGCATTAACGAATGTTAAATTACAGAAATTTTCTTACATTTAAATTTCTGTAATTTACTATCTGTTAATCCACGGTAAATTGCTGTAATTTAAGGTTGTTATTTTACTTAATTTTTTCAGCAGCTGGGGTACGTTAACAGATGTTAAATTACAAAGATTTCCATAAATTTAAATTTGCGGTAAATTTCTGTTATTTACTATTAATTTTATGGTAAATTTTTGTAATTTACCATCTGTTATTTTATGGTAAATTTCTGTAATTTAACTGCCGCTATTTTACCTTTTTTTTTTTTTTGGCAGCTGGGGTACATTAATGAATATTAAATTACAGAAATTTCCTTACATTTAAGTTTCTGTAATTTACTATCTGTTAATTTACGGTAAATTTCTCTAATTTAAGGTTGTTATTTTACTTTATTTTTTCAGCAGCTGGGGTACGTTAAAGGGTCACGAAACACCAAAACAAATTTTTTGAGCTGTTGACAGTTGTATATGTGTCCCACACTATTAGGACACCTATATTTCACTAAAAAGTGTAACTTGGTTGTTTTTGCGTTATTTCAAGCAAATTCGTACTTCCGGTTTGAAACGAATTTTTGAAGCTGCGTCACGGTCATGACATAATAGGGTTGTATTTCAGAGTGCAGACTGGCGGTCTGTGCCAGAGTGAGTCTTATTAAGTCTTACAGTGTGATGCATTAATGCATGAGTAAGGCTTGGTTCAAACCAATCAGCGCGCTCTATTGTGCAACTTCATTAATATTCATTACTGTCTCAGTGTTTAAACAATACTCACACCACGTTGTGTTGGCAAAACAAGCGTGAAGTGTTGCTTTATAGTTTGCTGCAGTTAAGTTTCGTTTTCATTTTCTCTCTGTGAGAGCTCAGACTCACGTGTGGATTAACAGTGTACGCGACGCTCGACAACAATAACTTACGTGTCTAAGGAGGAACATTGTTTACCTGAGAGCTGTTCTCATCTGCAAACGCTGAGATCCGGATTCGCTTGTAGTATTCTCTTCATAAAGACGCGGCTCTAGTTGCTGGTGATTGTCCTGTCTCTACAGATTTGGTAAGTGAGCGACCAGTGCTCTTTGTTTATTCAGTTTGTTCGTATCGAACTAAGTTAACCATTGCACCGAGTGTAAACATGTTAGCACCACAACCAAACTTTAACCTCGTGTGGGGTTTTCACCGCATTAAGTGACCGGAATAACACACGCGGCTTTCTGACGCTATGCTGTGTGCATCTAAGTTTCCGGGAAATGCAGAGTTTTTTTTTCTCTTTTTCGCCGTGCAGTATCAAACATTGCATGACAAATACACGTTTAGAGCAGTTCCTCGAATCAAATATCTCGTTTGTCGCGAGGGGCATGAATTAATTCCCTGAATAAAAGAGCCAAACTGCAATTAAAGTCCACCATTTAATAATTTGGCAAATAATTCGACTACAGATGTCCATGTAGGTTAAACACCATCACTTTCTACTGTGTGTGTGTGTTTCTTCCTCCGACACTCCCCCCTAAACAGAGCTGAACACGCCCACTTTTCTGACTTTTTCCAAAGTAGAGGTGTGAAAACATCCTGATGAAACGAGGGGGTTTCATGGCCCTTTAACAGATGTTAAATTACAAAAATGTCCTTAAATTTAAGTTTGTGGTAAATTTCTGTAATTTACTATTTGTTATTTTATGATAAATTTCTCTAATTTAACCGCCGTTATTTTGCTTTTTTTGGCAGCTGGGGTATGTAAACGGATGTTAAATTAGAGAAATTTCCTTAAATTTAAATTTGTGGTAAATTTCTGAAATTTACTATTTGTAATTTTACAGCAAATTTCTGTAATTTAACGACCTTTATTTTACTTTTTTTGGCAGCTGGGGTACAGTAACATCAAATTACATAAATTTCCTAACATTTAAGTTTCTGTTAAATATATATAATTTACCGTGTTATTTAATTACTTTTAATTTAATTTGTTATTTAATGGCTATTATTTTACGTTTTTTTTTTTTTTTTTTTCGACAGCTTGGGTACGTTAATAAACATTAAATTACAGAAATTTCCTTACATTTAAATTTCCTTAAATTTCAGTAATTTACTGTGTTATTTTACGCTAAATTTCTGTAATTTAATGGCCATTAAATTATTGGGGGTTTTTTTGCCTCCCCAGCTGTGATGTAATATAATTTGTATATTTTTTTGAGTGCCATGGTGTGAAAGCAAAAAATTCAGACATTTGACCTACTACCAAAAAATAGCAATGTTCTAAATGAAAACTAAGAAGCACTTACCTGTAGTCAATGCCTCAGTTAGGTTTGATTGCAAACAATGCGACCCATTTGCAGTGTTAACTCCCCTCTCCAGTTTCAGATCATTCATGGGCTCCTAAAGTTATTATTCCAGTAACTAACTCGTAATATCTTTGTTCAATTTTTTATTCACAACAAGCCCAAATATAAATGGTTATAATTTAAAGAGCACAAACCTCATAATAAATATTAAACGTACACCATGTGTTATTCAAGTAATTTCATTACTTCCTTACAATTCATTCATTCATTTTCTTTTGGGCTTAGTCCCTTTTTTAATCAGGGTTTGCCACAGCGGAATGAACCACCAACTTATCTAGCATGTGTTTTACACAGCGGATGCCCTTCAATCCATAACCCAACTCTAGGAAACACCTACACACTCTTACATTCACTACGGACAATTTAACATACCCAATTCACCTGTGCCTCATGCCTTTGGACTGTGGGGGAAACCTGAGCACCCGGAGGAAACTTACGCAAACACAGAAATGCCAACTGACCCAGGCAGGACTCAATCCAGCGACCGTCTTGCTATGAGGCAATCGTGCCATCCACTGTACCACTGTGACCCCCCCTTTGGTAACAATAGATTTTAAAGTGAACTAATTACAAGTAATTATGCATAATTAGACATAACCAATCATTTAAATTCTAACCATGTAGTAAGTGGATGTAATTAATTATTATTACTTGCTATTTAACTGAATAGAGACATTGTAACAACACATTCAACTAAAATGTAACTTCAGTATTTTATAAACATTAAGTGTGATTGTGATTCCCTGTCTGGCTGCATGCCCTCCTTTCTATATCTCGCTCTGTGTTTTATTGTGATCAACAAGCAGGGGGCATCCAAGAGAACAGCTTGCTCTTTATCCAGGCTACTAAAGGCAGCTAAAAAGCTCAATATTGCGCACAATATTTACAATCTATATGATTGGTAAGCTCTCTCAGCTCTTTCATGCGTGATGCCCAATAGTTTATTGCACGAAACCCACTATATATTCTGATTAGATGTGCACTGAAGAGGATATGAAATGCGCTTGGCTGCATGACCTCAGATGACTCCAGTAAATGCTCGTCATACGCGCATGAACATAAACACAGCCTGAAGACTGTCAAGCCACTGTGAATAAAACTGCAACCACAGGCTGGAAGGGGTTTGATCATTTTATTACAGAGGCAATATCCCACACTTATCCTGTGTGTGTGTGTGTGGACAGGACATTCAAGCTTTACACAGAGCAATTTTATAAACTGTTCCAGATCACATGTAAAAACCCCAGAATTAAGTGCCAGCAAATGTGTCTGTGAGAAAACTATTTACATGAAGGTGATTCCTGCCCTACTGACCTAGTTACCGATGAAGGAACGTTTGAATGCAATATGATCAGCTACCTCCATGTAAAGAAATAATAAAGAAAACAGCAACATATGAATACTGACAGACCAATGCATCAGATATTATCCGATTATTTGGCACAGTTGGTCAGTCCAACAAAGCTTTGTCGGTGATCTTTATAATATTTTAAGTGAACTTAGAAAACACTGTGTAAAGCATGCATTCGTTTCAATTTAGCGATGTAAACATCTTAATTGCTGAAATTGAAATTTACAGTACATACAGCCATTATATTGGACATCTACTGATATCAAAGACATTGTACGACCACTTCCGCAAAATCAAGACAGCCTTCATGCATACTCCAGCCTTCAATACTTCAAGGAAGCAACATATTTAATACATAACAAACCAATGGGATGATTAACTTTGGATTACGATCATGATTTGGTCTCATTACGAGTTCTCAATCTGAGTAAGATATCATGTGACCCTTTAAAACAGAAACACACTTGTAAGTATGAGTCTGAGTGCATTATGAGCTAGACAGGTCAACAATTGGAGCGATGTAACAAAATATCGAGTGTGTCATTCCTGCTGAAAAGTTTTGCAAACCTCTCATACCATATAAAAATACAAATAATGAAGAAAAACATCAATATTGCAAAAATAAAAAGCATAACTTTGGCAACTAAATATTCAAGTTCCTGAGAAAGGCCGAGCACCCACACCCTTCATTGTAGCCGCTGATAAAGACCCCTGTTTTAGTTGTCTTGATTGTTGCTCAGGGGTTTGTCCCATGTGGATTACCTGAGAGAGGGTGAGGGGCGGAGCCTCAAGTGGTTCGGTTTTTCCGGGATTGGAGGTTTATTGGCACGGGGCGGAGACTGACAGGGTGGAGACTCGCCGCACACGCTGAAGGTTTTCATGAGCTGAGCAACCCTTCCTCGTCCCAAACAGCTCTCTTCAACAACCTCGGACCCCAAATCCATTGAGAACACCCGTTTAGAGGCGGCAACCACTCGGATATCACCTGCAAACCCGAAGAGAATGGAGAGACAAGAGATTATGACCTTCAAAGTGTGTTTTTATAGATGACAACTTCAAAACACTCTCACACTTGCCCTCTTCAACACCACACCTTTCTTCTGCCCTTTTCCCTCACTTCGCACTCTGTTCTATCCTTTTTTTTTCTTTCTCTGCTCTCATTCAGTGTGTTTTTTTCCTGGGCTGCTGACTGCCAGACCGGAGGTCGTCGGCGCAGGAAGTAGAGCAGGGACGCAGCTGGGTGTAGTTGGTGAGTGTGTGTGTACACGGTTATGGGTGCGTAAGAGTGTGTGTGGTTACACTGTGTGTATGTGTGTGTAATTGAGAGATGGAGGGATGGAAGATGAGGAGAGGAGGGCCGCAGGGATGGCGGCGGAGAGCAGACAGACGCTGCTCAGACACCAGAAGGCTTGAGGAGCTGCTTATTTTTAGCCACGTCCCCAGGGGACACAGATGTGTGAGTGCGTTCGCTCTCTTTCGCTCGCTCTCACAAACACATATACCCTTTCTCCTTTACACATACAAACTACGACACACATTTTACCTCTTCTCCTAAAAAACACACCCTGGTCAAAGACTCAACCCCACGTGTGTGGCTGTGTCAGTGGAAATGTCCCAGTGTTGAATCATGAAAACATCAGCTTTCAAGCAGACAAAACTGAATTAGTCTCTCACTTTAAGACCTAGTTTGTTTCTCATCATTCGCTCTTTAACCTTGGGTACAGATAATGAAGATGAATAGAATTTGACACAAAAAAGAGCCATTAAAAGGCAAATTAAGCACAAAATAAAAGGCATTATAATATTTCAAATATTTAAAGTTATTTACAGTAATTTAATATTTCATAAAGTAATCACATATCTTTTGTTGCAATAAAGATATATAAATAAATGTAAAAAAATAGACAGACAGACAATCAGACAGACGTGTGTACAATAAACAAATGCAAAAGATAGGTCCTGCAAACAAAATTGAAAATACAAAAAATAAAAGGCTAATATTTCAAATACTATAAATATCAATAAAATTATGTTTGAATTATTTTTTTATCTACAATAATTTAGTAAGTAAAATACATTAAAATGTCTATTTTTTCCTTTTTATTTTGGCACAGAACATGACCCAGATGTGTTTGACGTGATTCAGTGTCTTGCTTCTGAAGCCCTGCCCCTTGATCTTCCTCTTCTTTCCTCCCTCTCTCCCTCTCTCTCAGTCTCCCCGTGGCCCCTGACCTGTGGTTCCTGTGTTAATGTCCTCTCGCCGCTCTGCGTGGGCTCTGCCACTGATTGTCTCACTGTGTTGTGTGGTCGCCACAGAAACCCTGGACAGGCTCCAGCGACTGAGGCGGACACACACACACACACACACACACACACACACACACACACACACACACACACACACACACACACACACACACACACACACACACACACACACACACACACACACACACACACAGAGAGTCACACTCGTGATCTGAAGCTGTTTGTTCCACCGCATTTTCCACGCCCCACTAGTAGTCCGTTCTGTGTCCTACAAACACACGCATGTGTGCGTCCATAACACACACACACACACATACACACAGTTCCTGCTGTTAGCTGACACCAGCGTAACGACTGCGCCTCTCGCCGTTTTCCATCCTCCCATAACCTCGCCGAACCTGAGAGCGTTTCACAGAGCTGTCAGCCCCTTCAAAGCTCTGCTGAAACCAAATGCTTCATCCAGACCGGCCAAAACTGCCCCCGCGCAATCACTTGTGACAAAGCCTGTAAGCACCTGATCGCAACAAAACCCATCAATAACTGCTGTGCGTGTCTGTGAAAATGAGAACACATTGATAGGGATGTTTTCAATTTCACCATAGACACCATAAGCAGAATGAAGAGCCGAGTTGTGCTGTGGACCATGAACTGAGAGATCTAAATTTGTTTAATCTTTTAAATGTACAGTATGAAAGGTCACTGTATTATGTCTAAAAAAAAAATTCTGTGAGTTTCAGAACACAAACTTTACCATAAAATCACCTTATATTGTAGTCAATCTGCCAAAACAACAGCAATGTAGTCATGTTCAATAGTGAGTCTGAACTCCACCTCCACAGAAAATGATCAACACTCACATTTTTCTACATGAAGGTATGGGTGTACTCACACTAGGCTTTTCGAATCATGCAAGGCACATTTGACCCCAATTTTCCAGTTTGTTTGACAAGTGTGAGTGCTCCGAATCGGACCCAGGTGCGGTTCAGTTGGCCAACCCTGGCCTGGTTGGAAGAGGTGTGCCAGAGCCTGGTTCGATTGGACTTTGGCGCAGTACGCTAGTAGTGCACTAGAGTGCAAAACTAAAGACTTGACTTCACTTTTAAGGGACTGTTTCATATGGATTTATTAATCATTCTATCCAATCATCAAACCATCATATGGTTTATCAAAGATGCAAAGCCGTTGCTTGTTCACGATGACTTTCATGATCATTTATTAGCGTCAAAAGTGGTGGATGCGTTCAGCAAAAGATGTGACTGTGCATCACTGCATCACAAACGGCTTAAAGTAATACAAAATAATATAACTAGAGCAATCTCTATTGTACTGCATTGTATGGAGAGAGAGTCACATCATCGATGAAGTAGGCATGCTCAAGCTCTGAAGGCAAAAAAATTCAATGTGAGTGTGGGCCGAGATGGAGAGGAGAGAGAGAAGTGTGACAACTGTGCCTCGTGTGAGTACACTCTAAAAGGTAAGGGTCAGGACACACCAAGTTGACGCCAACAACTGGCATCAACGAAACCCAACTGTGTTGTCACCTCACATTGGATTGCATATGGACAAAAAGCTGCATGTGAACACACCAAACAGAAGAAAGCTGACTGAAACAAGAGCCGCGTTCTGCAAAGACATGTCTTTTTGTGTGGAGGGTAGTGTATTCTTATTTCACAAAGGGAAATCGAATTTCTGATGCACAGACAAACCATAAACAAATTAGCATTTGGTACCTTTATAACAGAAAATAGGTGCATCCAAAATTGCACACTTATATGTCGTTTTAAAGTATAAATAGTGTAAGTTCACACTAAAAACTGTAAATAATAAGTTCACTTTAATTACCTGCATGATGCACTTATTCAATCGTTAAAATGAAGTGTGGAATGATGGAAACTTGATGCACTCAAAAGTCGCAGCTTTGCTCATGAAGCGGAAGGGGCGGAGCAATCGGGCGCTCATGTTGGATTACATCATTTATTTCTCAAAGCAAAATTCTCCTATGAGAGTTAATATAGCACCTCCTGATGATGAATGTGGTTAAACTCATGGCAGGTATTATTTGCTACTTTAGTCATTTATTTTACTAATTTGGCAACCGTCAAATGTCACGTGGGAAATGGTTTGAATTTCGGCTTAGTAAAAAAAATGTTAGTGTTCCATTTGGGATGACACTGCATACATATACTATGCTGTTGAAGGTGTAAGTGCATATGTACATAGTGCATAAGTGCAATTTGAGACACAGCTACTGTCACTCAGCATAGAGCGATTTGAATATTTGAGAAATGGAGCAAAATTACAGCAGGCGTCTTCGTGTTCCTTCTTGACTTGAACTGTTTACTTGCTATACAATACACTCGTGCTCTGTTTCGTTGCTGTGTAACCAGTCAGAGCGCACTCTTCACCTGACTGTCCTATGCAGATTTGACATGCTGGATCGGGCCAACAAGATTTCATCTTTAGTTCTATAACGCTTTTACAATGCAGATTATGTCAAAGCAGCTTAACCTACAAGTTGTAGTAGATTGAAATTAAAATAGTTTTTAGAGAGTTCAGTTCAGTCTGGTTTAATTTTTACTGCTGAAAGTCCAAACACTGGGAAGCAAATCCATCGATGCGCAGCTCCACAAGTCCCAAACCAAGCAAGCCAGTGGCAACAGTGATGAGGAACAAACTTCACCAACTGACGAAAGTGAAGGAAAAAACTATTTCTACTCTGGTCGAAGATCCGACATTAACTTGATAAGAGCTGACATATGGAACACACCAAACCAACTAGCCTAAGCGACAGACCGACAAAGCCCAACGGCTGACCCTCAGCTTGGTGTGTCCTGACTCTATATAACCATGATCAAATACAGGTCTACACAGAAACCAAGCAATAACAATTCTCTATTAGGAATGAGAGGTTGAACTTTATTTTGGATGAAGTTTTAGACTGCTCGAGTAAGATCTTCACTTCATTTTACCTCAGATTTTTTATATTTTGTTAAATATGCACAACAATTATCCAATAACAGCAGTGGGCATTTACTTGAGTCTGTAATCCACCAAACCCATTCAAACAGCTTGTTCAAATAACGAAGGTCAAAACACCCCCCAAAATAATATATTCCTTCTATATCAAGATGTTTTTAATGTAAAAAAAAAAAAAAACCTTGATAAATTTATCAGCAGACCTTACAGATCATTAAAAAGGCAGTTCGTGATCTGTTTAAAAGCACGCTATCTCTTTAAATGCCCCCACCACTGTGAGCGAGGAGGGTTAGAAGTGGGGCAGAGGGCAGAATTCCGGAGCGGCATGTCTGTGCGCTGAGCCGGGCCGCGGGGGGGTCACGCCTGCCAGGGGGAGCATGAGGAGGAGGAGGGGGGAGGCTGGGGGCCCTGTCACTTATCAGCTCCGGCCGAGCGTCGCCCAGGGCCAGAGTCGGGAAGCAGCGCTGGAATGTGTGTCCTTCCCTCTGAAGGTGAAGTGAAGGGACTCACACTCACACAGACACTCTCTCAAATGCACACGCACACACAAACACACACACTCACTCACTCACTCACTCACTCACGTGCGTGCAGAGACGGAACGAGCAGCTGTGGGAAGCTGTTGCATTCACGCACATGCCAGGATGAACATGCACGCTACTCACACACATTTCCGTGATTTGCGCGTTTTGGAGCTGAGCTACAAAATAAAAACTATTCAATTATACCCATATTTTTTATTTGCATAATTACAGTTTTTGTGCATCGAATTCTTAGAGTAGGTGATAAGATATTATATTCACACACACACACACACACACACACACACACACACACACACACACACACACACACACATACACAAAAATAAAATAGTTCGTTTACTTTACCTGCTCTAGGTAATATGGGGACATGGAGGGTTTTTAGAGTTTATGGGCTGTATTTTGTTTGTATGTCCAGCAGGGGGCGCAACACCAACTGCAGGAATTGTGTGTGCAATTTCTAATAATGCACACTGGATGGCGCAGGTTTTGGGTTTGGAGTGAGTCAAAACATCTGCTGAGGTAGGACAGTGTTCAGAACGAATGCTCATTGAAGAAAAACACCCATGAGATGATCAAGAGCTCGTTTTTGGATGAACTTGAGAAGATTTTAGACAAATACGAAGCCAAAAGATATCAGCTGTAGGTTTTTGTAGATTCTTGTTTCTGGCTTTTGTCCTTTCTGCTTTCTGACTCAGAAATTGTGCAGGCAGCTGTCATACAAACAAGTATCATTTATAATATAGTATAATGTACTATAATAAGATAATATAATTTAATAAAGTATAAGTGTTTTTTATGTTTACTGCATTATGACAAATTTCTTTTTTCAAAATTAAATAAAAACATTGACATTTAAACTACACGCTTATTGTAGTTATTGCACATAATTAGGATTAGATGATAAATCAATTTTAACTCACTTTTCTTTTCAAAAATAATTTTAACATTTACAATTAAGTGAGTATTTCCAGTGGCAATTTTCATATCTGGTACAGTAAAGGAAAATTCACACTACAGTGACACTGATGAAACCTGACCAATTGTTTTGGTAGATTAGTGCGTTTTCTTGGTCAGATCTTATTTTCACCAACTGAACATGCTGAATCGACAATTGTCATGTAGTAGATTGTCCTGAAAATGACATGCGGAAAGCTGGCGGTTGAACACATTTGTTGATGTCTGTCTGTGTGGTATGAGTGGGCCTGAAGAAAATGAACACTTTTTCATTATATTAACAAAATTTAGCCTAATTTGCATACAACATTAAAGAAATAGCTCGGCCAAAAATTAACATTTACGCACCATTTACTCATCTTCCATTTGTTACAAAGTTGCTTTATTCAGTTGAACACAAAAGAAGATATTTTGAAGAATGTAATATTTTGAAGAATAAAAACCAGTAGCCATTGACTTCAGTAGAAGGAAAACATACAATGGGCGGGTTGTGAGACATTTGGTTCAGAAAACATTCTCGCACTGGCCCGACAGTGGAAATGCAGCTTATAAAAGTCAATGGTTACAGGTTTCCAGCTTTCTTCAAAATAACTTCATTTGTGTTCAACAGATGAAAGAAAGTCAAACAGGTTTAGAACAAGTAAATGGAACGTAAATAATGGCAGAATTTTAATTTTTGGGTGAATTATTAAAGGGTTAATGATTAATTAAATAATTGATTGCAAATTAAATTTAAAAATAAAAATGTGATTTTTTGGAATTAAAATAGAATCTCACCATATCCGTCAACCCTCCTGTTTTTCCCAGGAATCTCCCGTATTTTAAATTCTATCCCGATATCATCTTGTAAAGATATTTTCCCGTATTTCTCCAAGATTTTCATCTTTCTATGAAGGGTGCATTCACACTTAGTTCCAAGATGACAAAATGGAAAGACGTACGCACATCACGGTAATTGTGCTTCTAGTGAATCTTTTGATTTTGATAACATACAGAGAGCGAGATGTGTCTATTTGCCGCAAATAATATTAAAAACATAACGCAATGTCTGCAGACGTTGTTTTTGGAGGAGACATTATCACTGTGTTTGCCCTGGCTCAATCCCGCTTGTCACCAAGGTAACGTTAGGTGATACACAGACATACACACATTAATGAACATTATGAAAACTACAGTTTGTTGTACAATTGGCAGTTCACTTCTGTTCTTTGGTACAATTACATTCATATCAGAAGTGAACTCGACCAGAGTACGCACGAACTATACCACAGACCATCTCTTTCAGGCAGGCTCGGGTACAGTTTGTGGGAGTGCACCCCAGTTAAGATGACATCGTTCACTTTAGCTAAATGTACCACTCTCTGACGTCAAACTAACCCGGGTGTGGACCAAAAGTGCTAGTGTGAAAACACCCTGAAGAGCTGAGCCGATCCTCCCTATTACAAAACTCATACCGCCGAACCACCAGGGGATGCCCTTGGCTCTTAAATGTGAATCTGATCTGTGCTTTCATTTTATTTAGGCATGAAAACACTTTGAAATAAATATAAAAACAGTGAGATTCCCCTTTTTTCCATTACTGGCGGCGCTGCCACTCCTATGCAATCCTCAAAACAGTCAGTTCATGTAGCAGTGTCTGAAACCTTTCCACAGTGATAAATAGACACTGTTTCCCAAACAGATCCTGTACATGCTATTTAAAAAAAAGCGAAAGTGGACACTGGGGTTTGTGTGTGTGTTTGAACAGACATACACACATAATATTAAAATTATTATTTCCTACTTCACACCCCAATGTTGACAGGTGCATTTCACATGTTTGGAAACTTCATTCTTGATGTTACTGTAACTTTCAAAGTCAAATGTTCAAAAATCTTCTTTCATGATCATATTACTTTAATAGAAGCATAAATATTGTTTTGTAATAATTGGAGATCCTTAACAATATTACCATTTTAATACATGAAGTAAATTAAACATCTCACTGCCAAGATCAATGAACACCAGTGATACAGTGGCAGATAATGGTGATAATTCCAGTGTCAAATGAAACCACTTACTCTCATACCAGCACACGACAGATCCGCAGAAACAAATTCTCCCTGACTATGGAATTATTAACAGATAATAAATTATAAATAATACAAATTCTGGTAGCTAGCGGAAAAAGGTGGCTCACCTCTGCTAGAGTGTGTTTTAGGGGTGTCTTGGGGATGCAGTCTGGTCTCGTCCTCTGTGCTGAGGGCCGCGGGTGTCTGGAGGCTGGACCTCGAATGGGCCTGATAGCAGATTGAGGACAGCAGTGCTGAGTCATTATCCTGAGAGCGTCCTGAATCAGCCTCCTCTCTGCACTCCTGCCATACAGACAAGTACAGCACAGCAGGACTCAATACAGTACAATACAATACAAGCATGATTAATGCCTTAAATATCCCACAAGGGATACATGCACACTTGTTACCATCTTGGTTATTTCTTAAGCTAGCCTCAAAAAAAAAAAAAAATGAAGTATTTTTTTTTATATGGCTATAGTCTAGAAAGGTAATTAATAATCATTTAATTTTTTTTTGTAATTAGGTTCACTAGTCATTAGGTTGACTGTTGTTGTCTTTAAATATCCCACAGGGAATAAATAGACACATCTTGACAATTTCTTGAATTCAAGCTTTTTAGACTTCACTTGAGAAGCAGACATTTTTTTACCTAACAAATTTCGGAATATTTCAGTAACAGAAATAATTGATATTTCAATACATGCATCATATTACATTCTTCCAACACCAAATGCTCTTTTTCTATGGTTTTCAAACAAATTTATATGATCACATTTCTCAAAGAGTTTAAGGGCAAATAATAATAAAAAAAAAAAGAGTATCATGTAATGAAGCTGAAATTCAAATATATCTTTGGAATCTCAAGTATGAGGACCATAAAACATGAAACACTGCAAGGTATACAGTAAAATATAAAAGGTCAAATAAAACAGGAGCCCTGAAATAAAATGTATTAAAATAAAAAGTCTAAAAATATTTAAATAAAAATTATAGCATATTATAAAGAGCAAAAACAGAGACAACACACACACAAACATATTAAAGTTTATTTATGAAAAACATTAAAGGAAATAGTGGCCTGACACAATACACACACACAAAAATCCATCCATCCATCTCACCCTGCAGCCCAAGATCGGTTACTTCCTGAAGCTAAGCATGGCTGAGCCTGGTCAGTATTTAGAAGGGAGACCACATGGACAAAACTAGGTTACTGTTTGAAGAGGTGCTAGTGAAGCCAGCAAGGGGCGCTCAATCTGTGGTCTATGTGAGTCCTAATACCCCAGTATAGCAAAGGGAACACTATACTGTCAGTGAGCGCTGTCTTTTGGATGAGACATTAAACTGGGGTCCTGACTCCCTGTGTTCATTAAAAATACTATGGCATTTCCTGTGAAGAGTAGGGGTGTGTGGGCGCCAGTGTAGTGGTTAGGGCATTGACACATGCACTCCGGTGCTCACAGAGACCTGAGTTCGATTCCGCCTCGTGGTCCTATGCCGATCCTTTCCCTCTCTCTGCTTCCCATGCTTTCCTGTCAAATCTCTCTACTTTCATATCCAATAAAGGTAAAAACCGTGAAAAAATAATAATTAAAAAAAAAAAAAAAAAAAAAGAGTAGGGGTCCAGGCCAAATCTCTCCATCGGCCCTTACCCATCATGACCTCCAAATCATCCCCATCCACTGAACTGGCTCTATCACCGTCTCTCCACGCTACCTATAGCTGGTGTGGTGAGCACACTGGCGCCACTGTCCTGTGGCTGCTGACGCATTGTCCAGGTGGATGCTGCATCCTGGTGGTGGTGTGAAGAGAGCCCCCTCATGATTGTGAAGCACTTTGGGTGTATGGCCATACATGATAAATGCACTATATAAATACACACATTACATCCATCCATCCATCTATTTAGCTGTCTATCTATCTAATACAATGCTATAAAATGAACTAAAAAAATAGAATAATGAAATAAAACAGCAACCTAAAATAAAACATACAATAACCTAAGTAGCCAAACAAATAATTAATTAAATAAGACAGCCTTGAATAGAAAGAAAAAAAAGAAGCTTAAAATAAAATAAAAACCTAACAGCTTAAAACAAACTACTAGCCCAAACAAAATCAAAAATAAAATCAAGCAAAATGCATCTGAAGCTGGCAAAAACAGCTGATACTGCACTGCTGAACTGTAACAAGCACAGACCGTGTTTAGTGTTTAAAATCATGTAAAGTGTTAAGACTTGCCCTGCCCAGGGGCTTGTGGACACTGAGGGCTAAATCTGTGCTGGGAAGAGACAGAAATGGAAAAAGAGGGAAAGAAAGGTCCCTGCCCGAACCCCAGGGGACAGAGCCACAATCCCATCCATCTGTGACTGACAGGAGCCCGCTTTAATTCCCTGATCAACTTTATCAACCATCTGCTCTTCACAAACTCAGGGACCCAAATCAGCCCCTGGGCTCTTTCAGGTCCTGTGGTAGAGCAAGCACACACAGCCTGACTGTCCTCATGCTCTTTGACACACAGGACACACTCAGAAAAACACACACTTTCAGAGAATCATATTCAGCATTTATGCTTTAAATATATATCTCACATTCTGGATGATTTGTTACATATATCTCAAATAATTACAGGCTTGTATTGCACTGTTTTTTTTATTATTATTGCTTTTTTTTAATTAGGGGCCTAAAATATGGACCAACCCAAATGTTGGATTCAAAATGTAAATAAATGGATTAACTCAATTTGGGTTTATCTATAGCCTACTTCCCAAATTTGGGTTAAAACCACAGAGCATTTTTTTAAGTGTAGGGGTGTGTTATATAGTGTACAATAATATCATTATGGGCTGCACGGTGGAGCAGAAAGTAGCATGTTTGCCTCACAGCAAGAAGGTTGCTGGTTTCAGCCTCGGCTGGGTCAGTTGGCATTTCTGTGTGGAGTTTGCATTTTCCCCCCGTGTTGGCTTGGGTTTCCTCCAGGTGCTCCGGCCAAATCGTCCATATGTGTGTGAATTAGTGTGTATGAATGTTTCACAGTGATGGGTTGCAGCTGGAAGGGCATCCACTGCGTTAAACTAATGCTGAATAAGTTGGCGATTCATTCCGCTGTGGCGACCCCAGATTAGTTAAAGGATTAAGTCGAAAAGAAAATGAATGAATGAATGAATGAATGAATAATTGAATGAATAATATCATAATTATTTTTATAATGATGCGCAAGCTGACATTATCCAGTAAATCAATCACTTGGCAAACAATATAAATAAAATAAAATAAAAAACAATAAACTAAAAGACTAATAAAAAGTATGTCTTTAGAGTCGAAAAGTATTAACAGTGTAATGCAGTTTATAGTTGAAAGGTAAAATGACTCAAAATTCAAATTATTAACGCAAAAAAAAAAAAAAATTCTATCTTAGTATGTGAGTGCAAATGTGGTACTGAGTTTCTCATTCCTGTTTTTATTTATTCTATATCATATGAAAAATGGTTTAATTAATCATTCATTAATGTAGGGACGTGCCGCCACCTACTGGTGGATTCGCTGTCATTTCTTTATCCATAAAAGGATTAAATGTATATATATATATATATATATATATATATATATATATATATATATATATATATATATATATGTAAATTTACTAATATATATGTATTTACAGCCAATTTAGTTTATTCAATTCACCTATAGCGCATGTCTTTGGACTGAGGGGAAAGCGGAGCACCAGGAGGAAACCCAAGCAAACACGGGGAAAACATGCAAACTCCACACAGAAATGCCAACTGGCCCAGCCTGGACATGAAAGAGTGGCCTTCTTGTTGTGTGGCAATTGTGCTACCCACTGCGCCACAGTGACGCTCATATAGACCCCCCAAAACATTGAAATGTTTTGTCATTAACACACAGCCCTGACAAAACCTACTTTTCAGACAGAAAAAAACACTATATAAAATAATACTAATAATAATAATAAAAACTATTATTAAAGTTGATAGTGTGGCTTTAAATGTGTTATGATATTTTAGTTATGCAGCTGATCAATATTTTTCTGTCATTTGCCAAAAAATAAAAATACAGTCATGTATTTGAAACAGTGACTGAAGAATATATCATTTGTTTTGTTGTTGTTTTTCTTTACCTGTGCAAAAACTTTGTAATCTATTCACACAATAGGGTGACTAAATGCCTTTGTTTTCCGAGGGCTAAGAGCTTTACACTGAATCAGTTTTAATTAAAAGCAAAAACATACTAAATGTGTACTGTCCGTTTTTTTAAACTCATAGATAATCATAAGTGAGATTTCATTGCTATTTTGACCACAGAAGTATAAACTAGCTGGGTTTCCATCATCCTGTGTCATTGCGCATTTTAAAATATTGCAGGAGAACGACCAAATTCAGAACAACAATTTCTTAATTAATCCACAAAAAAATAATTTACATTCGCTTGATGGTTTTGGACTTGTACGGAAAAAGGTTTATGTGAATAATAAAGTGTTATGGAAACACATCTACTGAATAAACTTCAGCAAACACTGCAACCACATGACTAATCAGATGTCTCCATTATGCTACTTGTGTGTTTACTGCTGGTTACTAGGTTACCAATTCCACAGTCAACTGCTCTAACAACTTGATGGAAATGCATATAATTGTTTTGGGGTGTATAATTATAGCTGCAATTTTTTTGGCAAACTGATCCGCTTCTCGTTAGGATGGAAAACTGACCACCGGTTTGCATCTTAGAAATCTAGTCACCATATCATACAATCTCTTGTCCAAGTAGGCATCTTTTTTAAATAAATAAACCAAACAAAATTAAATAAATAAATAAATAATAATTTTGAAAAGCACACGATGGGTGACTTGCCCAAAAAAATTTATGTAGTTGCAAAAATCCAGTAGAGCACATACAGTAACATCAGATGTTTAGATGTTGCAAATTTGGACTAAAAGCATTTTAAGATTCATGGTCGCACACTCGCCCAACGGTGTGTTTAAAATGTGTGTGGTGTTCAGCTGTTGAGGGTCAAGAGCCTGAAACAGGTGTGATGAGATTGGCAGCAGGCGACAGCTGAGGGTAAAAGGATCTGAAGATGAGAGCAGAAGGACAGCTGCTCGACCTCCAGAGCCGAACGCCAGAAGAGACCAGGACATTCCTGCACACCGACACCATGTTTACTTTGCAAGAGGGTGACGCGACTAAATTAGACCATGTCTGTGCAGATGAGACTTTGTTGTTTTATGCTGACCCATTTTAATATTTGTTTTGTATTGTTCAAATATAGTGCTGTTTAACAGAGGTCGAAATAAATCTGAATATTTATAAACATAATCATTTTAATGACCAATTTCTAATAACTCATTCCTTTTGTCTTCGTCATGATGACAGTACATATTATTTTAGCTACTTTGCAAGATACTAGAATTAAGCTTAAAGTGCAATTTAAGGGCTTTAACTATAGGTTAATTAGGTATATGTAAGTTAGGTTAATTATGCAAGTCAATGGACGACAGTGTTCGGTAGACAATAAAAAAAAAATCTTAATGGTGCTAATATTATTGAAATTAAAAAGTAAATTCGACGTTTTTTCAACTGCTGTTATTCCAGCCCAAATAAAATAAACAAGACATTCACCGTAAGAAATGACACCACAGATTATAGCATACAAAAATAAACATAACAAATAAAAATAAATACATATAGAATATGAGTTCAGTTAAAATAAATTTGGTGTAATTAAGGGGAGTAATGCTCTCTTATGAGTTTTGGGCTCTCTGGCTTTCTGTAAATCACTTATTGTTTTCCAAAATACACTTTAAACATTTCTTTTGACACATTATCAATTTGTGTCTGCAGATTTCAATTAAAATACATATTTTTACAATCCAAATTGTTGACCATGTATTTTTTTCTGCATTAAGCCAGAAATCTCCACTTACATAAATGTTGCAATAGTTACATAGAACAAACCTCACAGTTTTAATTATAACTATATTCAGGAGGTTTATACATGGAGATTTGTTCATACATGACTTGCCTGATTATTTACAAAGCTTGATTAAACAAAAATTTATACTTTTTTTCTAGCCATTTGCAGTATTTTCTGAATTATGTTGCCAAAATGTCCTCTGTAGAAACTTTTGACTCTAATATGAAACAAGAATTCTGAACTTGATAGAAACATATGCATATTACTGCATATTTCAATAAATAATTAATATGTAAAATGCATGTATGCATATGTAATTATATAATTTTAAAAAGCTTTTAATCCATTTTGTTTTTACAAATCTTAATGGAATTAATTAACTAGGGAAGTATGAAGTTAAATGTTATTAATTTTTAACCTGGTGCACCAGCAGTGTCTTGTCTTGAAGGTATTTACGTTTTATGCAGAATTGTTTCTGCTTTAAAAATGTAAAATATCAAAAGATGAAAAAGGCAGAAAGGGGGGAGAGAAGTTATTCCAGTCTGCTGTTGTACTTTGTGTTGAACGGCAGCAGTATCAATGAACAGAGGCCATGAGATCCTGGGACTTTCCATCGGCCACTGGTGTAAATGAGATCTCTGTGGTCATATGGCATATCACATCAGGTCAATGAGCTTGTGATTGTGAAAAATGACTTGGAATTGTGAACACTGTCAGCTCCCTATATTAAAACTTTTAAAGCCATTCACTCCCAAAAAAAAAAAAAAAAAATGTATAAGGTTACATGAGAAAAGGTAAGTGTACGTGTAAAGACAAGCTTCATGAGTTATAACATAATTAATATATGCGTAATTATTACACATAACAAAATGTCTTAATATTTGTAATATTTAATAATAATAATAAAATAACACTTACATATTCCAAAGGTGCTAATGTCTTTTCTTCATTTACTGGCATCTGAAGAATAAAAGAAGGCATTTAAGAACTTTATATTTTGCACTCATTTCATATAGTCTGTCCTGCCAATAAATCACTCAGCTGCAGTACCACAACACACCTGCGGAGGCACCAGAGTCCTTAACTCTTTGTCAGTGTTGTCCTGTGAAAACAAACAGACTTCAGACTCAGACTTCAACTCTTCCATGATTATACTACATACAAAATCATCACTACCATAACAAAAGTTAACAATCATGAGAGTCCATCTCTGAATGTCACGGCCCTCAGACGGCTTCAGCCTGGTGTTTCTGTGACTCTGATGCAGACTCTTCACTAATAGGCATGAGTGAGCCACATGTGCCCTCATGCAGAGCCAGATGTTTGTGTTCAGCAGCAGACGATCATGGTGTGGTGATACTGGCCAGCACTTCTCCTCCCAGGAGTGTGTTCGCTGCACACCATGTTGCCATGGAAACGCTAGTGCGAAACCCCCCATCACCCACTCACCTTATAGGAAAACAGCAAGGATAAGGTTGCCAGATCCCTTTTAAAGCAGCAAAAATGCTGAACAATCAATATTTAAATGAATACTTTAAGTTTCTGACTGAACATTAGTACGCAGATAATAATTAATGATGACATTACTGTACCTTTCAGTCGGTTTTAATCTACAAAAAGCTGATCACTTCCTACACTTTATATTCCAATTGGATTGATGGCCCTGCCCATTTTAAAATTTCATTGCTCTGAAACATAGATATACATGCTAGATAATGCATACGGACCCTGCGCATGCGTCAATAGAGCCGTGCTCCCAGGACAAATGTCATTCAACCACACTACTCAAGACTAAAGCCAATGTGAAGATGCTGGACTTGAGCACTGTGTACAGGAGTAGTAATGAGCAAACAAAAAAACAAAGCATAAAGGCAGAACATTTCATAGGTAAGATTTAGTTTTTTACGTTTTTGTATGTTACAAATGTTTATGCTACAAAAGTATTGATGATTGTTATGATATGTTTTTTTTCCTGTTTTTTTTTTCACCCTCCTCTCCGTTTGCTCAACCCTAGGTTTCTTATTGGTTTATTATTCTGTCCATCATCATTATGACGCTCTCCGGTTCCACCAATCCCAGGACGAGCCGCAAGTATTTAAAGCCCTGTCAGTCCAGTGTGTGGTGCGCCCTGCCTCGGCGTACCCTTTGTGCTCCACGCAATTTGTTTGTGCAAATGCTTCGTCTATTTTGTGATCTCTCAGTTACTGTGATAATCCGAGTTGCTTGTTGAACTTTGTTGGCTTTAAGTAACATATGATGATGGTTGTGTGATTCTAAACTAAGATTTAACGGACTTATCCGGTTTGTTTTGTTTTAGTTTAGATTGATGTTTTGTTAGATTAGTTTGAGTGTTTTGCCACCCGTGTATTTTTGAGTTTTGTAGTTTGATTAGTTTAGTTCGGGTGTCGTACACACTGAAGATCTCGGTTTTTATTTGTGTTTCTTTTTGACGCCTAGTTTAGACATTAGATTTAAGGATTGTTTTGTTTTGTTAATTTCTTTGATTTGGCTTACACTCGTTCTTGTTTAAAGATAATAATTATAAATGTTTGTTTGTTTTTTCTCCCCCATTTATTATTGTTACATGTTTCAATTCAATTATTGAGTAAAAGCTTTAAATGAGAGTAACTGAACCTTGCCTCATTATTGATCTGTCGCACACATTACACCTGTCTCACTTAAATGTTACAGCATCCCACTTTAACATCATAAAACACGTAACAATGATAATACAGTCTCTTGCTGCACTTATCATAAGGGAAAGTAGCACCAACTCACACTAATGATAAGTGAAAGCAGGAGAGGGGTTGTGTTTCAGGACACGAATTAGATCAAATTTAACAGGGAGGGAAGATAATACATTTTCATGCACACAAACCCACGCTCTTTGTCAGCAATGGCCGTGCGCTCACTTATCCATCAATGTAGAAAAGTGAAGTAAAATTAAAAATTTTTAAATTTAAAAAACAATTTGCATACTGACCACCAGGAAACTCCCAATCATAGATACAGTATATGTACATATGTATATAAAATATCTCTGCCTCTGGATGGCCATTCCTCCACTGCACCTTGGTCCCACAATCATTTCAAAGGAGCACTACCCTGTACTAAAATGGCCGATCTATTGACGTATTTCTTCCAATAGACAACAACAGCGTATGCGACATCTAATGTAAATATCTATGGGTCCGAAATGCAATGATGATGTTCTCCTTGAACTTCCGGTTTAAATTACTGATGTCAAAGATTAATCAATGTTAGATGAATCGATAAATCTTATAAATCAATGCACCTTAATAATGCTCATCGAAGCACAGTTTCGTTGCACATGTGCAAAACATGTAAAGCAAATGTGAGAGAAAATAAAGTGAGCACACATTCACTACCGGTCAACAGTTTGGGGTCAGTAGGACTGTTAAAATGTTTTAAAATAAGCTTCTCCTGCTCACCAAGGCTGTATTTATTTCATACAATAGTGATTGTAAAAATGTTATTGCACTATAAAATAACTGCTCAAAAGTAGTTATACTTTAATTTAATCATGTATTCCAGTGATTTTAATGATGAAATTTTAGCTTCATTACTCCAGTATCAGAGTCACATGATCCTTCAGAAATCACTCTAATATTAATTATTTTTAAAATTATTATTATTATTATTATTATTATTATTATTATTAATGGTAATAGTAATAATGACTGGAGTAATAATTTCATTTAATAATAATAATAATAATTCATTTTATTTATAAATGGCGCCTTTCTGGACACCCAAGGTCGCCTTACAGTAAGCATCATCAGACATGCTAAACAACTTAAACATTACTAAAAACAATCAATGACCAAACAAGTTAAAAAGCAATAGCGAAAAAGAACATAATAAAAACATGATAAAAAATTGTTAAGTAAAAGCCTGCTTAAAAAGGTATATTTAGTATATTTAAAACTAAATATACTAAAATAGTATACTTAAAACTATATACAAAAAGAAAGCAGTTATTTTAAGTTTTTAATAACTATTTAACATTTTTACATTTAATAAATGCCACCTTGATTAACAGAATAATTATCTTAAAAAAACTGACCCCAAACTTTTGACTGGTAGTGTAAGTTTACTTAAAAAAAAATAAAAACACTCTCTGGTTCTATGCTTGAAGAAACAAAACAGAGCATTGGTTCACTGTCTGGCTGTGTTATTGAATCCAACTCAACTGGAACATTTAGCTCACGAACATGTAATATATAAATACTAAAACTGTTTGCAAATATATTAGGCTACAAAGCTTGAAGACTTGTGCTTATAACTCACATAACTTTCATGAGTCCTTGTTTTATTTATATTTTTTGGGGATCCTTCAAATTTTCCTTAATATGTACAATGTAGTGTTAATTTTATAAGTTACGCAAGCTGTTTTAAGTCGTTTAACATGTCTTAAATTTTTAAGCTGAATCAAATTAATTACAACCAGGACTTTTTTTACAGTGTACTTAAGCATGCTTGCGTTTTGAGTGTCATTTGCACATCCTGTTTTGCTGGTGACAATGTAACACATTGTAATGTGACACATTATTAAAGGGATAAAACTGTCATCGTTTACTCACCCTCTACTTGGTCCAACCCATTATATTTGTTCTGGTAAATGCCAAAGAAGATATATTAAAGAATACCGCAAACCTGTATTCCATAGTATTCATTTTTCCTACTATAAATGTTAATGGTTACAGGTTTGCAACATTCAAGGATGTCCAATTAGTATGGACAGAGAGGACGTGTCCCCACCAATATTCACCGATTATTGAGATGTCCCCACCGATAACTTAATCGCCTCAAAAACAATAATGCTTTGTGGAAATTTTCCAGTCAGGCTTACTGTGCAAGACTCAGTTGAAACATAGACATAAGCAGCTACATTTCGAAGAAAAGTGTAAGTTACTTGATGTCAAGTTCGCTACAAGTCCACCATAAAAATGTGGAATTTTAAAAATAAACTGTTTCGATTTTGGCCTCCATGACAATTACGAAAAAAAAACACTCAGGATAAAATAGTTGTTGCATCACATGCTTGATTTAAAGTTATTTTTTTATTATAATTGAATTTTATTTATTTATTTATGCATTTATTTATTTATTTATTTATTTATTTATTTATGTTTGCAAAATAGAACATGTGCTGTCTGTTTATATGCTCAGAGAAGGAACAGAACATAGACATGCTAAGTCATCTTTTAGCTTAAGGTCCATCCATAAATGGATATATACTTGTAAACGTGTTCCGATAGGGCAGTAAGTGATTATGCGCAGATAAACACAAACTAAATGTACATTGCAAAAATTGCAGGGTTTCACACACTTCCTTCATGTTATCCCAACACAAATCCATTAAGTTAACTTAATTGCATTTACAAATTTAAGTGGACCCGAGATAAAACAATTCCAGAGTCCAAAAAAACCTTAAGAATAGAGTTGTTTCAACTCATCTTAAATAAGTAGTTTGCACAAGCAGCAAAAGTCTTTTTTTGTGTAAGTCTTTATTAAACTACCTTTCTTTAGGTTTACGTTTTAAAATTAAGGGGAGGGGGGCAGGTTAAATTAGATGCCTACCGATATCAAAAGCAAATCTACACCCTTGGCAACATTCTTCAAATTATCTTCTTTTGAGTTTAACAGAACGAGCTTGGAACAAGTTGTTGGTGAGTAAATGATGGCATTTTGGAGACTATATGGAAACGTTAGGCTGCTGCTGAAAGTAGTGGTGGAAGTGAGGCTATCAGGGCGGTGCTCAAACTGCATGCTGTGTGTGCCCTAACGCCCCAGTATAGTGAAGGGGAGTCTATACTGCTCAGTCATCGCCATCTTTTGGATGAGACGTTAAATCAAGGTCCTGACCCTCTGTGGTCGTTTAACCCCGGCATCCTAGCCAAATTTGCCCACTGGTCTCTGTCCATCATGGCCTCCTAACCATCCCTATATCATAATTGGCTTTATCACTCTGTCACACCAATCAGCTGATGTATGGTGTGTTGTCTGGCGCAATATGGTTGCCATCGCGTCATCTAGGTGGAAGCTGCACACTGGTGGTGGATGAGGAGATTCCCTCAATGTGTAAAGTGCTTTGAGTGTCCAGAAATGTGCAATACAAATGTAATGATTTATTATTATTATTATTTTATAATCTATCCCTTTAGGTATTAATCAAATAGTTGATTGGTATTTAAATGTGAAATGATCATGAGAATTTGTGGCTCAAAATTGTGTTTAATGCGGTTGGAAACTTCATTGTTGGTGTTACTGTATAAGTTAGACTGCCTGTCTGTTCAAAAATCGCCAACTGGCCACACACAGACAGACATATTGATGCATGAGCAGAGCAACGGAGCCATAAAGAGCCGAGCAATGAGAGAGTTGTTGTGCCGGCGAGATGGAGAGGTAGGTGGGTTGGTGTGGGAGGGTTTTTTCTTTTTTTTTTGAAAGGATGAAAAGGAATAATGGAGGAGAAGGCAATGAAAAAAGGAGGAAAGGGGAAGGGAAGGTGCAAAAAGAGGGAGAGATGGAGGCTGTGATTTATTTGGCTGTTGAGCGATGACTCTCCCTGTGGAGAAAGTCCGTCTCGCTGGCCCTCGGCTGTGTCCGAGATTAATGGCGGCAACAGGAAGGTCACCTACACACACACTCGCACACACAGCCACATGAATACACAGTGGCACCAATTTGAGAGGTAAACAAACACACGTGAACAACACACCTTAAAGTTCAGCTGAACTCCTGAGCGAGCTTTAGGAGGGAGGTTTTCTCGCCCTGATCGTGCAGGTTCTGCTGATGATCGGTTTGTCAGGTTGCTCTTCAAAGTGCTGGACTGATTGCTGTAAAACATGAAAAGACACGTGAAAACAAACAACAGATTAACGCCCTTCACGGTCAAACAAGTTTCCATTGTGACACACTGCTGAAAGTTTCTGTTAGATATTCATTTACAGTTGTGCTAAGAAGCTTACACACCCCTTTTTACTCCATTTCTTTTTTTCATTCTCCATTTTATTCAATCAGTAAAATACAATGAAGTTATTTTAGAAAAAGAAGTCGTGTAAAATCTTGACAAAAAAATAAGTAATTCAAAACAATTGATATACGTAGCAAATATATATTTATTTTTTAGGTTTATTTATTATTTGCCCCCCTGAATTATTAGCCCTCCTGTTTATTTTTTCCCCCCAATTTCTGTTTAATGCAGAGAAGATGTATTCAACACATTTCTAAATATAATAGTTTTAATAAGTCATTTCTAATAACTGATTTCTTTTATCTTTGCCATGATGACAGTAAATAATATTTGACTAGATATTTTTAAGACACTTCTATACAGCTTAAAGTGACATTTAAAGGCTAAACTAGGTTAATTAGGTTAACTAGGTAGGTTAGGGTAATTAAGCAAGTTATTGTATGATGATGGTTTGTTCTGTAGACTTCAAAAAATAGCTTAAAGGGGCTAGTAATTTTGACCTTGAATTTGTTTTTAAAAAATTAAAAGCTGCTTTTATTCTAGCCGAAATAAAACAATAAGACTTTCTCCAGAAGAAAAAAATATTATCAGATGTACTGTAAAAATTTCCTTGCTCTGTTAAACATAATTTGGGAAACATTTAAAAAATTAATAAATAAATAAATAAATCTAAATAAATCAAAGGGGGACTTTCTGACTTCAACTGTATATCATGATACTTTAATAAGTAGAAATTCCATTTTATAACACACATACACATAACTTCTATCTCTTCTTGCTCCCAGCTAATGCTATAAAATGTTTTTAAAGAATTGCTGAATTCATTCATTTATGTTCAGTTTATTTATATTAAAATAATAACAGCATTTACAGTTAATATTTTTTTCTTTAGTTTAAATAGTATTTTCTTTGCTTTGTAAACTAATTATATGCTTTAACTGCAATTATTACAACATAAAACTTAAATTAGACAGTTCTGAACTGTAAAGAAGATAGTAATAAACTGTAAATATTACAACATAAATCTTTAAATAAGACAAATCTGACCTGTAAAAAAGATTGTTATGAACCATAAATATTACAATATATACATTGGAATTTGATGGGTATAAACTCTTTTTATAGCAGCAGAAATATGTTAATTAGACAGTTATAAACTAAAACAATAAAATAAAATTCATAAAATATACAGTGCAGTGGGTGCAATCCCATAAAACTAATAACATTGCTACCATATTTTTTTTAACAAACTTTGGATATAAATAGAAGTAAAATAACTTATAAATTTAGATCGTCTAATTAGTTAACTGAAATATATCAATTTAAATGTTAAAATTTAATAATATTTACAAAACTATTAAAGAAACACTCGAGTTGAGTTTACATTTCTAAATCCATTCAGCCGACCTCTGAGTCTGATGGGAGCACTTTTAGCTTAGCTTAGCATAGATCATTGAATCGGATTGGACCATTAGCATCTCACTTAAAAATGAGCAAAGTTTGACTCTTTTTGTTATATTGTTTACTGAGACATTTAAGAAAATCAAAAGTTGCTGTTTTCTAGGCTGATATGGTACTGATACTCTCATTTTGATGTAATGATCAAAGAATTTTGCTGCCATACCATGTCACCAGCAGGCACAATAGCCGCATTTCCACTGTCTGGCCAGTGCGAGCCAGGGCTTTTATTGGAAGCTTAAGCAGTGAGGCCGAAATCATGTCATGTTTTCACTGTTAGGCTAGAAGCTTGCAGTGCTTATTAAATTAAAACTTTTTTTTATCATTTTATACAACACCCTTACATTTAAAGGGGAAACATAAGGGTGATCTTAAGCAAAACAATAAGAGTTTAATGGAATAAACTCTTTCCATAAAGAGTTTTATGGAATAGCCTATCTTAAACTGAACAGCTATTTGTTTTCTTTCCCTTATTTATTTATTTTGTTGCATGTACTTGTGTGCGATCAGAAAACTAGTCTAATGGCAGCATGCCATCTTTACTAGACTCGGGCAAACTCTGCCTCTGCTTTCACTCCGCTCTGAAGCCTCAGCTTTCCCTCTCTGGCCAAAGGTATTCAGGCTAGAGATCTGCGCAGGACTAAATTTTGAATCCCTCTCCCACCCGGTTTTAGTCCGAACCCGACCATTAAACAAAAACGAAAACAAACCAGCAATAGAGTCAAAAAACACACACACACACACACACACACACACACACACACACGCACACACGCACACACGCACACACGCACACACGCACACACGCACCACCAAGCAAGTGACACACAAACAGACGGCATCTAGCTCTCTCTCATTCACACACATACACACACACACAGGTAGCACAAAGCTCTCTCTCTCTCATTTGCACACACACACACACACATAGACAGCAACAAACAAGCTAAACACAGCATCACGCTCTCATCACACACACATACATATGCACTCGGTAGTCAGGAGCGATGGTGTTAGACTGCCCGCTCCCATCCAAAATTACATCAGTTACCGACTGCTCTCGCGCTTTATTTGAAAATTTATTCCCGCGCTGCAAGAAATCGGGTCCTCTAATTCAGACCCTGGAAGTGACAGTGGAAACACGACTGACCCTGGCTCACCCTGGCACACTCCCTTTAGGCGCGATAGTGGAAACGTGGCTATTGATATTATGCGGCACCTAATAATAGTCCACAGCTAGGTAATTCCAACATGACGGGCATATGCTCCTTGTGAAAGCAGGTGGTGGTCACATTAGAAATGGGGATTATTTTCAGGTGCTTCATAACTACAGAAAAGTCAAGTTTTAAATAGGACAATTACTGAAACACTGTTCATTTTTGAGCAAGCTGCTAATGGTCTAATCCTATTTAATAATCTATGCTAAGCTTAGCTAATAGTGCCTCTGTTAGAGATCGGCTGAATATAGTCAAACATAGAAAACTTTTTAAGTGTTTTTTATCGAGCAACATTATGAAAGGTCATGTGAGACTGGATTTAACTGAGTAATGCAGAAGATACCTTTAAATAAAACACAATTAAAAGTTCCAGTTATGGCGTCTGAAGAGTAGTCGTGTACGTGGTCCGTTTCCAAAAACTTTTTAGTTATGTCTTTAAACCTCAGTGCTTTTGTTTGTATCTGACAGTATTCATTTCTCTACTGTTCTGTAACTTAACAGGGTATATGCACACAGACTTTTTTTTTCAATCAGCCAGCCCTGGGGCTTCAGGTTACAGGTCTTACTGATGTCAAACTTTTGAATAGCAATGAAATCTATATTTGTTATTGGTATTTTGGTATTGGTATTTTTGACACCAAATGCATCATTCCTTGAGGTAGTACTGTAAAATACCTTTTATGATTTTCATGTTCCGCAAGACATCAGATCTGTTCCAGTGTCATAAACCCTCAAACTAAACTTACTCAAATTCCTTAGACTTGGTGTTCAAAGGTTATATTTGGAGTGGTTACCTAAGATCTCAGAAATTAAGGTACAAGAGCTGTCACTGGGGCAGTACCTTTTTAAAAGATACATATTTGCACCCAAATAGTCCACATTGGTACCATTGGGCATATTAGTACCCAATTGTACCTAAAAAATACCTTTGAGGTAACATTATGGACCCTTCAAGTAAAAATTTTTACCTTTTGAAAAGGTACTGCCCCAGTGACAGCTTCAGTTACTTTATTTCTGAGTTTATATGTATAGATATGTTTTGTTTTCTAAGTGTTTAGTGTTGTGTTTGTCAGTATTTCAGCTGAAGTGGTGTTCATACTATGAATTGTTGAGGACGCTGGCTGTTTTTCTCTCTCCAAATCCTGAATAGATGATCTTCGAAGATTTAAACTCATCCATCTCTCCAATGACAATGACCTGCACGTCTCCATCTCGTCCCAGCAGCCAACTGACACTCTTACTATGAGCTACAGTGATAAACAGAGAGAGAGAGAGTCTTAGTGTATATTGCACCATTACTGAAGCTATTTTTAACAATTATTATGCATAATAAAACATAATACTTCAAAGTTATTTATGTATCATGGTTCTTGTTCTTATGAATACACTCAACAATAACAGGATTAAATGGATTGTTCATCTGAAAATGTAATTCTGCTGCATTCTTCACTTGTTCAGAACTAGTTGTTGTTTTTTTAACACAAAAGTTATTTGGAATAATGTTAGGAAGCTGTAAATACTGACATTCATAGTAGGACAAACAAATACTATGGAAGTCGATAACTACCAGTTTCCAACATTCAGCAATATATATTCTATGTTCAACCGAAAAAAAAAAAAAAAAAAAAAAAACTCAAACTGGTTTGGAACAAGTCAAGGATGAGTAATTGATGACAGAGTTTTCATTCTTAGGTGAACTGTCCCTTTAAGGCAGATGAGTATGGTTACAAATAACCTGATTGTTCTTACTATACTTCCTCAGTTTGATTGATTACATTAATAATAACAAAAATGTTTGTATTACAAGTTAGTTGAAATTTTTCTTTCTTTTTTTTTTTTTTTTTTTACAAGTTAAAGTAAAAATTATGCTTTAGAAAATTTGAAAATCTCATTTTATCACTTCATAATTCAGAAAATCTTGTGAACATCCAGGAAAAAAATATTGAAAAAAAATGTAGCAAAATATTGAAAAATGTAGTAGCTAGGAAAAAATATTTAATTAAAAGTGTTGAATAAATTCAGGCAAATTATGTAGGAATAAAACCTTCTGTAAAAACCTTCAGAATATAAATACAAAAAAAAATATGATACTCGTTGTAAAATAAAATAAAATAAAAATAAATTAATTTAAAAGAATGACAAAGTCATGAAAACAAATTTACTTTAAAGTAAAAACAACTTTTTTAATTATTAAAATGAGTTAAAAGTTTTAAAAAGCAAGTTAAAACAAGTTTAACTTAATATTTTATGTCAGTTTGATTGAAGCAAGTTAAGATGACTAGAAAAGTTAGTTTGATTCAACAACAAACACTGTACAAATGTTCCACACAATTCATTCATGTTTTCCCAACCTTTTAAATTCAGTTAACTTAACACTTTTAACAAATTTATGTGAATTGAACAAAAAAAATAAGTTGTCCCAATAAAATCTCAAGAATTGTGTTGTTCTGATTATTATAAACAAAAATATTCTTGTGTGTACATCCAAACACAAAAAATCCCAAAAAATAGTAAAAAGGCAAAGAATTGACATGGTGTGTTAAAAATATTATTTTAGCTTGCAGTATCTCAACAGTGTCAATTCTGTAAACAAAATGAGTTTTGAAAACAGTTTAAGGCTAATTGTACTACATCACATTAAACTGCAACTATCTTATGAGGATCATATGAACAACTTGCTTTTTTGGAAGAACAAATGTTTTTAACAAACTAAACAAAATGAGTTAGTAAAGTTAAAGGTGTATAAGAAACAGAAAAGGCTTAACAGGGAAAACTGAAAACCCTCCCATGTGAAACTGGTTCTACTTGCAGGCCTTGTGGCAAAACAACAAGATTCCAGCTGAACAGCCTGCCTGACAGATTCGTGATCCCAATGAAGACAAACCAACATGTCAAACCAAACAGTCAAGACCTTCAGCAGGAGCTGAAGAAGCATGTGAGAAACAGAGCACAAACCAAAGCAGAAATAGAAACCATTTATTCTTTAAATGTCTAAAGAGGGATTGCCTACCAAAACAATTCTAGAGATTCATACATATTTTTGGTCTGAATTATTGCTTGACTCGTGAATCCTGCCAGTGACTCTTTGACTTTGAGACAAGATTAGAGCTAATGTCAATGATAAAAAAGCATGATTAGAATACACTGACTGAACATAAAGTACATAAACACTCAAATCTGTTTTCAGGCCAAACTCAAAGCAAATAATTTCAGAAACTTTTTGACTCTCAACTAATTTAGACTTTTTCCCATTCACATTTGGCTTTAAAAGACAAAGATCAATGCAATAGAGTAACTTATAACTGATGTTTTTGTGTTATTTTATTTTTTTTACATAAAACCTTATAGTATCAGTAAGGACAGTGCTACTTACAGAAATAATTCCATTTAATTTTTTATGTTTTTGAAAGGTGTCTCTTGAAGTGTGCATTAATTTAATAACAAATACTAAAATCTGAAATATATTAACTTTGAAAGTAACCATTTTCCAACATCAATATATTTTAGATCTGCATTTTCAGCAATTCTAGAACCCCAATTAAATCCTTAAGAAAAACTTTACTGTTATTTTTATAACACTGTACAATTGCTGAGTTCCACACAATTGCGGAAGTTAACTTATTAGTTTTTACAATTTTAAGTAGATTGAGCCAAACAATTAAGTTGTCCCAAAATAATATATAATAGGCGCCAATAGCCTATATTTAAGCGCGCCAACATATAGCACCATGGTGCTTACGGCGAAACAAGTTCAATTCCCAGCTGGAGGTCCTTTGCCAACGCTTCCCCTCTCTCTTCTCTCAATATTATCCTGTCTGTAACCACCACTATCCAAATTAAAGGTGATAAAAAAGTTGTCCCAAATAAACACAAGAATTTTGTTGTTTCAGCTTATTTTAAATAAGTTTTTTAAACAAACAGCAAACAGTGTAGCAATAATATAGTTCCTAAATTCTGCTTTTTGTTGAAATTGATCATTTTTAGGATGGATAAAACTGTCTAAAAGTCTTTTTAAGAAGGTAAATGTAGACGTTTTTAAGAAAAATGAAAGATTTTACATTTTAACTGTAATTAATAATTTAAAAGGCAAATAAATACATCAAATTTTCTCCAAATGTAAATTTAAAGGATGCACATGAGTTCAAAGTTATGCTATATATATATATATATATATATATATACAAAATAAAACCAAAAAGTTTGGGGTCATTTTTTTCATGTTTGTTTTTTAAGAAAATTATTCTGGTTATTAATGATGCATTTATCAAAAGTAAAAAAAATCTTAAAAAATTATTAAAAATTTAAATAAGTGATTTCTTATTGTAAGTAGTTTCAAATTAAAATATTACTCCAGTCATTACTGCATTTATTACTATTGCTATTATTAATAATAATATTAATAATAATTGTAATAACAATAATAATTAATATTAGAATGATTGCTGAATGATCATGTGACTGAAGACTGGGGTAATGAAGCTGAAAATTCTTCATTAACTTCACTAGAATAAATTCTTGAATTCAATTATAAACTACTTTTGAACAGTTATTTACAGTCCATTAAGATTTCACAATTTTACTATTTGTACTGTATTTTTGACTAAATAAATCCAGCCTTGGTGAGCAAGAAAAGCTTATTTTAAAACATCTAAAAACCTAAACTTTTGACAGGTAGTGTATATTTTCGATACTTTTTAGTAAACAACAACAACAACAACAACATTTAAGATTAAGGATACCATATGATATGATTAAATTATAATTTAAAAAAGTGATTTTCCTACACTTAGACATGAACACATTTCCAACTAAATGTGGAAAATTGATTTTCATGAACGACCGACAGATAGTGGTTCTGCTTTAAAAAACAAAAACAAAACAAAAAAAATTAATGAAAATAAGATAAAGTATATTAAAAAGGTTAAAAAAAGAGTGTTAAGAAATGTGTACTGGAAAGAAAAAACATTATAAGTTTGCTAATATTTTTAAATATAATATAATATATTAAAAATAAGTATATAAAACACAAATTAAAAAGTAAATATTTTAAGTAATCATATTATGCCATCATTAACTGCCAAGAGTGTTTATGAGTTTAGGATTTTTTGCTTTAATTCAAGCCCTTTTAAAGGCCTTATATTAGTAAAACTGCAGACGTAAACTTGTTAAATTAATAAATAAACTAAAAATCAAAAAATTAAAAAAACAAATAAAAAAAAAACAATTAAACAAAACACAACAAAATAAAAATATATATTACAAGGACTTCAAAAACTTGAAGGATAGTGCATGCAAGATAGATCTCACACTCCCTCACACACAAACACACATAATAATAATACACAACAATTGATAATCACATCTGCAATCATAGTATCCTCCCACAATCTCCCTTTCTCTTCCTCCTCAGTGTTTTCTGTGTGTCTGTGTTTCCTGCACTCTTCCTGCTTTGTTGGCAGTGGTCTGTGTGAGGCAATGGAACTTGGCCTGCCTGACATTTCCTTTCTTGCTCCAAAACTGGGTCAGTAACAGAAGAGTTTCCTCTGCCTTGTGCAGCAGCTCACCCAACGCAAGGGTCAAGATGTCTCCAGAGACTCTCTTTATTGTTATACTTTATTACAGTATTGTATGACAAACCCTATTTTTACACAATTAAGCCGCTCTCCTAACCGGGTTTGCTTTAACAGGGTTTGCACAGAGGCAGTGAAGATGTTGTATGAGTGTGTTATTGACCTGCAAGAACAGCTGCCGTTGTCTGAAGAAAGTCTGAAGGACTCTCTGTTCTCTGCTGAGGTCTGAGAGTCACGGACATGATAATCACTGCTCTGTGATTGGATATAAAAACAACTTCCTTCTAGAGTGACGCACATCAGCCAGAATAGCCCTAAATTATCATTTCAGTGGTCTGTGCTGCATTGTTTATCATCGACTTCTGTATGAACAGCAGTTACTTTACAGATCAAATTAGATTTCTGTCACTCCATGGAAAGTTTATTCCCCCACAAATCTGATGCTTCAAAATTGTAAGACTTGTTTACACCTTCATGTTTACACCTGCTGCCTTAATCTTTCTCTTTTGTCCACTTCAAAACGGGGAGTCTGTGAGTGATGTTTCAATGTAACATTTCGAAAAAAACTCACAACATTATGGAAAGTGATACAAAGACAAGCAGCTTTTTTTTTTTTTTTTTTTTGTCAAAACCATGCCGAATGCAGTTTGTTTGTGTCAAACAAAGGTACACCTTAC